ATAAAGGCAACACATTTTGGTGTAAGTACCTACAATATTTTCGGCTATTTAAACAGTGTTAAGTTTGAGATTTCTCTGAATCAAAACACAAAAATAAATACTGAGTCTTTGAAGGATCTCCTATATATACACCTATATACAGACCTTATTGTATTGATTTCATGCTCGTACGGTACATATTTGTACGCGAATACTGTATGAGAATGTCGATATAATACACTTCCAAATTGCCGTACAGCGCGCTTGAGAATCGTAAACGCAATTTATAGAACCGAACAAAATATATTGACTCCGTTTGCAGAAATAATGCGGATAGTCTTGTGCACTATTTTCAATGAAGCCCAAAACGGGATAATATGAATGTGTTTTGGGTGTATTTAAAAATAGCAGTTGCAGTTAATTAGCTGGATATTTGATCTGGTATATCCGCCTGATATATATATTTCATGCCTCTATGTATGATTGCTCACATTATCACGTGACATAACGTCTTAAAATAAACTCAAATAGCTGTGCGTACCCAAAGTCACTAATGAGTAAAGGAATATGTACATATATGAAGGCTTTGGCGCCTATAAGCCTATTAGCTAGATAAATTTTATGTTGCAATTTCGTTACGACGAAATTTACACATATGTATATAATTTACTCATTATATTTAATAGTAGCTGTGCCAGCGACTTCTTCCGCGTAGAATAGTTATTTTGGGCATAAAAAATTGTTTTTGTAACCTCATTTTTATTAGCTTTATAATATTAGTACAGATTATGCTCGTCGTTTATTTGCATGACCGCGGGTTTGAATTTTATATATATTGTTACTCATAGTTTTAAATTTATAAGGCTTACACACGCCTTTAATGCGATTGGTATATCGATCCATCAATCCATTTGGGTAGATGCGCTTACGCAGTCAGGAAATTATTATTCACTGTGCGCAATGAAATAAAACGCTCAATTATAGATGTCGTATGTGACGTTGAGTGTGGGAGACAATTATACAACGCGTTATGCAAGCGATCGCTATGTAGGCTTCTGGGACACCTTTTACCAAGTCTTCTGAATGCAGTTCTATATATCTTGACCCTAAGCGTCATTGTGATTACAATTTCTTTTAATTTATCACTTGATTTATGTTATATATCAAGCGGTATTTAATTAATTGCTGTCTAGTTAATATTCTTTTACGATCATGAATGGATAACAGAAACTGTGATGACACAAATTTAATAAGGGGGCTTAAGGAGTGTGGCCTAATAACAAGAAGCATGATTTTCATGATAAGCTGGACAAAAAAATGCGCAAGGCGAAAATGAATTTGTACTATTTTTGTGTAAGAATTGTATTACAAATTTTCGGGCACCCGAAAATATAAATATCTTCAAGAGACTATATAAATAAGTCAAGGCATAAAACTTGCAGTTAGGCTACTTTGCATCTAGTGGCCTCAAATTACATTATTGTGGTTTATTTACCAAATTAAAATTATCTGAACATTTTTAACCAAGCAAGCGAAGGACAATTTAAATTATGCTTTTTCACTGATTTAATATATGTAACAAAGTTAGAAATATAGGTTTTGTAACCAAGAAATAAAGACGTAAGATATTCCAAAGCAGTGGTATCGCTGTGTTCAGCGACCCGAGCCACATTCCCCTAACAAACGTGCTTTTGCAAGCGAAATGCATGCCTTTAACGAGCTCGTCTTTGTGATGCTGTTCAGGAAATCTTTACTATCTTGAAATGTTCAAATATAAATACGAATCTTTAATATACGATAAATTTATTTCAATAGTGGATTTTATGTTCACAGGAAAATTCAACTACTTTAAAAGACTTTCGCGGCCATTCTGCAAATTTGTTTGGTTCCCAACTTCTCGGTCGAGAGTAAGCGAAGAGGAAATTATTAAGTATTACAAAGAAACACATCCAAGATGATGATAATCAAGACAAACAATAATACTACTGTTGTTTAGAACATCATTAATATCCATGCAACCGTTTTTGAGCAAACAACAAAGGTGAAGTTTTTTTTAATTATAATGTTGATCCTTGTATAAATAGTGTATATTCTTAAAGTATGCCAAGTAAAATTTATTTTAATATAACCTCATGGTCACCCTAGTGGTTAGGAGACGCGCCTAATGAGATAATTGGTAACGAGAGACAATAGACCACACGGCACGTAGTTTGTGGTCATGTTGCCATTTAAGACGCCCAGTGACAGGTGTGATTTGTTGTCAAGATTTAATATGTTTAAAATAAGTTAACAATGGACTTGCTATAGAAATTACGTAATATCTCAAGTAAAAAGTTGATATATCTGCTGTAATATAATACTAAATCCTTTTGTAATGTTAAAAGCATTAATCACGAACATATTACGAGTCAATAATAAGTATTATCAAAATTGAAAAGGCGTTGTTTTAGTATTGAGTAGAATTTATTTCAGAAAATTCCAAACATTCCAAAAAATAACTAAGTACACAACAGTACAGGCCTTTTAGTTCCAATTAAAAGGTTTTCTCAAGTCCATAAAAAATAAATCGAAAGCGCACTCGGTCACATTCGAGAAAGAAATTAACGAAATTTTAAAAACAAATAATTGTAAAGTTACTATCCAATAAGTTTACGGAGGGAATTAAGTTTGAACCTAATTGGATTCCGTTTGTTTCATTCTTTTATTTAATTATAACAAACATTTTCCGCGTAAATGAGTTGGAAAATTCTTTTCAATGAACGGATTTTAATGTCGTTTAATTTTTAGCTCCGAAACAATCGATAATGTATAGAAATTAATTATCAATTATTAACTTATACTTTACTTAGTAAGCATTTATTTCGCAACTAAAAAGACCAATTTTACTAGTCTGACAGTTAAAAATAATAATAAATTCACTTAATGACTTCAGGTGACTTAATTAAATCATTACGCACGGTAAGTAATGTAAGACGAACGAAGTCCGAGGAAAATCCTCAACACTGTAAACACGAACGCAAGTAAAAAGCCAAGGCTATCTTTTTAAAAAACTCTCGAACAAACAGCGTTGAGCTAATTTAAAATTATGGGTAGGCGTGCGACGTCACAAAGTGGATTATTTTCAGCCACCATTTTATTGCGTATAATCCCTTAATAATTAACTATCGGTACCTGCTACTACTAACCGCATAACCTAGCTTTAACAGTGTGGTATACTTATTTGAGTAGATTTATTTATACCCATTAATTATAATTAGTTTCAAACAGACAGTCGTTTGACTGGCGAACTAATAATTATTATACAGTGCAAGAACTAGATTTTGGCCGTTGTAATTTTTAAACTGAGTCCCGATTTTCTTATTATAATGATTTGAATAATTGAAAAATGTCTTTGTCTTAATCGTTCTGGAAGTATGAACAATACTGTAGAAACTACTGTAGACAATTTCTTTCAGGCTACACATAAGGTAATTATGAAAAGTTATAATGAATAGCGGCATTAGCTAGTCTACGAGTAAGAATGTTATATTGTCCTAGCTGACTGTCTGGTCTCATTCAATAATCCACGAGGAAATGGGCCAAGTGGTCAAAGAACTCGAGGGCGGCGGATCGATACCGGACAGCTATCAACGCTAAGCTGCGAATAGGAGACAAGGACTTAGGAACAAAGGCCAGTAAAACTTGCATTTTATATTAAATTTTCAATGAGAAAAAGAAAAAGTAGAATTATATTACGTTCTATTGCAAAAACGACCAGTCTGTTCATGCTTCTTCTACGCCAAAACGATGCAACAATTATTTTCGATAAGTTATAAAAGAATATTTGAAAGGTAACGAGGACACAATAACACGAGGAGATATTCTGTCTGTAGTTTACGCGAATAGTACACATTTAAATAAAACACTTTAACGGTTTAAATCACGATATATTTCAGTTAAACTTGTTTGAAAATTATTTTAATAGGCCCGACGTTCCTCGTTTGAGTCTCCCTGTACCAGTGTGCAAAATCGGAACGTCGGGCTGTAATGGCTTTATTTGTGGACTAAATCCAACCTAATATAGATTTTTTAGGTGGGGTATATCACCTACCATAAGTGAAAACCCAGCCTGTCTGTTTTTATTTGAAATAATGGGCGTGCATTAGATCAATGAAACTTTAAAGGACAACTAACATATTAGAAAGAGATAACCTAAACTCTGAAAACTGTTATATAAATAATGTATAAATTTAGTGGACAAATGAAATTGACTCACAAACATGACGAGTCAAGAATGCCACAAAAATTACGAACAAATACGGAATCAGGCGACCCGAATACTACGCGTAAATGACTAACTATCAACTTTCACATTAAAAATGCAACGTCAAATGATACCTTTGTTGACCTGGACCTACTTGGATGTAGGAACGAAGCTGTGTCGACTGGATTAATATCACAGAATAAGTTTTAATTTCAAAAGTATGTTACACTACTTATAATCATCAATACGAAAAACTTACAAATATTTTTTTGTAACAGGCAGTCATTTGTTTTTATAAAATTGTCAAAAACCCTTTACTTAAGTTTAACAAAAATGACAAGTTCGCCCCCATGGCAAATAAAACAAAGGAAGCATTTCAACGTGGTAATGAAGAGATAATTTTAAGCTTTAAGTAATAATCAATAAGTTCTTTATATATGTAGTCTTATCTATTTTTATTTCCTTTAGTTGCACATTTCGTTGCAATGCAAATCTACAATTACTTGATAATGACCGATGACTCAGTCGCCAGCAATGCGGACTCGATCTATTTGAGGCCGGTATCAGATGGACATTTTGGTATTTGTAGTGAGTATCATAATTAATGGTATTAACATAAATAAATTTAAAGTGTACTTAAATCTTCATAATATATTAAAAAAGTATTTGAAAATTGTTCGATCAAATAAGTAGATAAGTAATAAATGCCTTAATATAATAGGTATTACATAAATTGGTCCTAAAACTATAAGTTAAAGTATTAAAATCTTCCACCGACCTGGTCCGGACTCAAAGAGCTGTCCCCACTGGCGTTCCTCTCTTGGTTCTGCGCTGTTCGCTCCTGTTTGCATGCCGTGTGGTACTCCATTCGCGCTCTCTCCACCTTCTGGAGTAGCTTAGCCCAAGGTTTTTGCGCCTTTTTGAATGCCTCGTCCATTTCTTTCCGTTCTTTTAGCTGAATCATCGACTGTGGACAAAGATTAATGATACAGATACAACTTCTAAAGTAATTATTTATTAAGTGATAGAAGAGTTCCATCGTTTTTTATAGTTTGATGGTCTTGTTGGCTAGAGTTCGCCAGCGTCTAATTCTTTCGAGCTACAATAAATTGTTCATTTAAATGAAAAATGAAGTCCCGCATCAATTACTCGAGGATATACAAAACTTCTACTAATAAATTTAACCGAAGGCACAGTTAGTGCCTTCGGTTAAATTTATATTATAGTATTGTTGGTTGATTTAGTTTTTAGTTGTTAAAACTAATTGGAGTTTCCTAACTGTGTTTGCCATATGTCTGAGAGTGATGAGTGTTTATGTAACATTATCATTTAGATTGGTGACGTTAAATCGCATACATTATGCGATGTCACACCGACAGTATGACAAGCGAGCATGAAAAGGCACAGCACAGTACAACTTTGCAAGACCTATGTTCGTGCAGGCTCTTCTGAGTTTAAAAATAATATGTTTGTAATTTAGTAAGTTTAACCGGACCTGGATTCAACTAGCGAACGACCAGTCGTACTGAAATACGACTGGTGGTTAAAAATGCCTTTGTCCAGCAGCGGGCACCGAACGGATGCAACTAAGTTTAACCGAGATTTTTTTTGTTATGTTAGATTAGCATGAGGCTACTTAAAGGACTTGTATTCTGGCTTTGGGTATTCGGAAATCCAGACTGATACCGAAACGCGATTAACCTCCACAGCTTTTTCATTTGTAGTCTATGAGGTTTCCAGACGAAGTAAAATTTGTTTTAATTGATTAGACACAACCTCGTGGAACCCGGTGAAGATCAAACCATTTCTCCAAGTTTCAATTAGTTATGTGTTTCAGTAGATATACATTATGATTAGTTATAGAGCTGAAATACTGTAAAATGAGCTTCTATTTAGTATCCATTACAATTAATTAGGATACACGTACACTCAATTGTACGAGTAACATAACACGAAGTATTGTCTAAACTGTAAAACGGAAGGCTAGATATTAATACATTATGTATATTTAAATGTACACGTTGCAGTTGATTACACAAAGCAAGGTTACCGATGACATCGATATTTATTTACTTAATGACTCATTAAAATATTACATAATTATGTACGATTATGTTGAGGCTTTCGTGTTACAACGCAATAAGATGAACTATACGCAGAGCCATTAGCGAGAAGAGGGTTTGAACGTTTCTGAGAGATAAGATAAGAAATTATTGCAGTCGGTAAAATGTTTTGCATTAACGTTGAACGCAAAGTTTTATCACGATATGTTTGAACTGATGATTTGGTTTACTGAAAAGAATGAAAAGGACTTTAGACACTTGTCTGGTCCACGTTAGGGAATAACGACATGGGGAGGTGGGGTGATGGGTGCACGTAGTATTCTACTTATTTTATTGTTTAACTTATGTCATCCATTAGTATCTAATATCGGAGTTATAATCCGCCCGTTGTGTATATATGAAAATACCGGTACATTACTTACATTCACTTTCAATAGACATTTTCCTGTTATGTAAATATTGGATGTATTCATCAAAATGAATATGAAATAGCTAAGGTGAAGTTATACAGGTGTTTAAGGTCACGTGGCTGATGAGTTGACGCCGATTGCGTTCGTGTCAAGCATTATATAACTTCATTACATAAGTTCTTGCGCCCTTATAAATGGAAATGTATACAGGTTTATATATTTTAAATCTTGTCTGTAGTTAACGAGAGTAGTACACATTTAAATTAACTACTTTTAACGATTTTAAACGCGAAATATAATAGTTAAGTGTTTTATGTAACTATTTTAAATTCTTTTAAAATCTATAAATTTATTCTGTTTTTATAAGTTTAATTGAAACCAGAGTAAAAAAAATGATTTCGGTCGCCATCTACAGAAATCAAATTTCTTGCAAATAAAATGGATTAGTAAAACAGGCGCAGAATATAACCCCTTGCCCCATATAAGAGGAACGAGATTTCGCTATTGCTTCATCTAAATGAACTGTAAATAAGTTACCTTATACATTTCGCGTATCAAACCGTTCTTATTTTTTAAATCAAATGTGTTCTACTCACGTAAACTACAGAAAGTTCTTTAATTCTATCACAAGAATATAATTTACATCTACAACGCCTGTCACATAAGACGTTTTTCTTCGTGTTTATAACTCAAAACGTTTTCACGTTAAAGTAAATAAATACGTGCCGTTATCGACATGTGAATGCATATCGCATCGTGCCTCTTTAATCGTGACAGATATCTTATCTTTGAAGTTGTTATCACTTGTCGTCGAGTACTTACTTTCTTACGTATTTGCAAGTTTTATATAACTGACTCGTATGGTTTATTAGTACATTTGTTCAGAGACACAAATCAAATTACACCCAACCAAATAAATGCAACTCGTTTTCGACTCGAGACTGTTAATAATATATCTGAAGGATATTAAAAAATTACTAAACCTTAACAAAATATATACTTTTATGTAGGTTTTTCAAAGTTCTAGGTACTAAAATCTGCTACAGAGATTACTTATTAAATTAATCTACTATATAAAATATATTTTACACGCGAATTTGTTATAACTAATAGCGTTGTCGCTTTAAACCGTGTCATTTAAATTCACAATTATTGTGGTGTTTAGCAATCTACTCCTACTTCTTACTTAATAAAGATTTGTAATTGTTAGTTGTGACCGCTGAATGAATTATTATTAGATATTATATAAAATACTGTCTATAGTATACGCGAGTACTACACATTTAAATAAAACACTTTAACGGCTTAAAACGCGATGTATTAGTTTACACTAACTAATACATCGCGTTTCAAACCGTTAAAGTGTTTTATTTAAGGGGATTATATATATCACGTATTGCAACTTCAAGAAGCTCTGAGCATTTCTTCTTAATAATAGAATTTATTAGGTAAGACAAGAAATGTATGTGTAAATGCGATGCATAAAGCATCCGGTCGTAAATTCAAGTAGGTCTAGCCTGAAGCCGCCCATAAAACATAAGCCTGATGCAGTCTACTTTACGACTCAGCCTTTATTTTCTTTATTTCCTTCGTCTAGTTTTGCGGTCAAGCCTTTTATTCGATTTGAGTGATGGGATTTGAAGGCGGAACCCAATTAAAACTATAAGAGGATTTTGTTCTAAGTCAATAACACCTGTTTGTTTCAAGATCTGAATCTGCAGGGATCAATAATTGAAAAGCGTAAACCTGTTCACATTTTATATGCAAACGCGATGTTAGGTTCGCAAGCAAATGGAGTCTTTCGATAAGATGGCTTATTAAAATGCTAGTGAAGTTTCGTGGCCCCCGTGTGTGGCATGGGACAAACACTTTCCTTAGATACAAGCAATTTTATACTTGTTACCTGTTAAAAAGATGTAATTGGCTAAGAATTTTATCTTTTATCATAATCCTGTGTCCACATTTTAAATTTTTCAAACAACGATAAGAGTTTCGTGTGTAAATTACGGTATAATTTAGATCTTAAATATGGTGCGCTATGCGGAAAGGCAAAATGTTGTGTGTATTGAATTAGCAAACAGAGGTAACCATCGGCAAACAATGATGCCAAACTTATCTAGCAGAACGTCATCGTATTTTTCAAGCTGAGGCACTAACTATACTGGGTATAAATAGTGTGTTTTAAGATTCATATAGTATACATTTTTAGAAATGTTTATTTGTGCTTACAAAAGTGCAAATAATTTTTATTTCTTGATAGTAATAAACTTTGCTTTTTATTATTCACCTTAAATCATACATCTAGAATTTCTTTACCTATATTATATCTATATTAAGGTCAACTATAATCTTAATATATATTTAAACTTGAGATTTTATTTGTGATTTTACATAGGAACTATCAACACATCCTCTCTATTTTAAGAAAACCCCATCATTCCCTAAATCGTCTTATATAATAAATCAACGATTCCTAACTATTTTAATTGCAAAACCAAAAATCAAATTTACGTTCACAAGTCGGACGGAGCACATACTACAAAAAAAGTCGCATAGACACATAGTAAATGGTAGCACTACAAGAATAAATATATGTAATATTAAATCGATAGTGCGTATAGGCAATTGTCTGATAAATATTCAATTAGCCCGTAAAACTTGCACGTGATGTTAAAAAGCGATAAACGATAGAAATCACCGCGAAATAATTTGTTTATGATGTTGATCTTATCGATATTTAAATTGCTTTAATGTCAACTCGCTGATATTTGCAGATATAATACTTCCAAGTGTTATAAACTCGAACTCGAAGACTCGAACCTAATAGATAGTTATTAAATGTAGTAAAAATATATTATAAACCCTAATCTTATGTCGGATTTTAATCATTAATTGATTCCAAAATTATTTTGGAGGAAACAAATTCTATATGCGATGGAAGTTACCTATAAGGGACAAACCTACATCAAAGATTTGGAACTACCAAGACATGAACACCTGACAACGTATTTATTTATAAAAATAATGCAGGCTGATTTATATGGTAAACAGTACAGAGTTTAAATAAAACTCATTAACGGTTTGAAACCATAAATACTATTGAACTTATTTGAAAACGATTTTAACTGCCGCCCGAGTGATTTTTGCACTACCCGTCGTCACGGGGAAGAAACTTAACTAATACATATCGCGTTTTAAACCGTTAAAGTATTTTATTTAAATGTCTTCTCGCAGTAAACTAAGACAGTATTTAGATTAAGCGATTTTCGAGTTGATAGAAAGATTCTCCCGTAGTTGTCTGACATTATTAGTAATATTCCTATCTCTATGAAGAGATATTATAATCATGTGTTGATATATTTTTGAGAAATACTCTGTTATCTGCGTATTAAAGGTACATTTCACATTTCAAGAATAATTAACGATAATGAGCGCTATCTCGCGATGACGTAAGCGAAGATATAATTCAATATTACCGGGATTTAATACGGTTA